TTCATTATAAGTTGTCTAAACTCTCTGAACACCGCAAATTAGCAGCTCAGAGCCTAGGTTACGACAAATTCGGTGTTCGTGTGCGGACACAGATCACGTAAGCATACCCAAAGACACATATTTTCACATAAATCATGATATCAAAAAAGAAATACTTCATGCGAATAACCATAATCAATAACATATAAATTTATACATATATGCTTTCGTATTTTCAGGTTTATACCTCTTAGAATTAAAAAAAAAAATCCCCAGTGGAGTCGCCAGCCTGTGGTACCCCATTTTTGACTAATTAGAATTAGAAGTCAAAATCCCACATTAGTCGATAATGTGACTAAAAAAAAAAGAAATTAGAGTCGCCACTCTATTTTTGCCCGAATAGAGACGGTCTTTTTGTTTATGATCGTTTTCAAATAGAAAACGACATTGACTCCATTAGGTGAGGCACTATCTAAGTATGGTCTTAGGAAAATTAGAGATCTAGGTACGGGGTATAAGTTAGGAAGATCGAACGTTTGGAACTCGTCTCTTCCTCTGTTCTAATGAACAGGCTCTTACTAGTACGTTGCTAATTGGTTATGGTTATTCACATACTTTGCCTTAAACTAATGCATAAAAACACGAAAATTTCCACATTGTCAATCACACTCAAATGTAAAATAAAAGTGAATTAAACCTTACGATATATGGTGGGTTTGAGCATTAAAGTTACCCTACGTACCGTTCATTGTGGGATTTGAATCCACTACCGAATCAAAACCCTACGTAGTTCTTACGAACGTCCATTTGTACATGGTCAAAGATTCCATACGAGGTTTCAAGAAGGTTTATATTTTTTTTTTTTGGGAAGGGTGGTCGATCCGTATGGGGTTATTTGAATGAGGCTGAGCAATCTTGCTTTCAAGATGGAGGTCAATTATCAAGGTTGAGGAAGTCACTAGAATTAGCGACACCATAGGAGTTTCTTTGAGGAGAATGCTTTTTTATTTGGAAAATGCGTTTCAATCAACGGTTTTACTTAGGGTTGACCAACTTCTGAAAAGAGATTGTATGGGCTTTATTGGAGTCTGATAAAAAGGGGTACTTTACTTGGTATGAATCGAGAAGAATACAAAGGAAATGTATTTGGATTGTAGGAAATTAACTTATGCAAAATGGACATTCCATATGGCTTAAATCTAAATGATAGGTAGTGAATTGAAAACCTTGATCATGTCAGATTACGCAAACGATCTATCAGAGATAATAAAACTTTAAAAGTATAGTTCTCTGTGGCAAAAGATCATCTCATAACCTATCATGATTGAATATTCAATTTTACCCTATTATTTAAATATAGGCCATAAACCACAACTCGAAAGGTTTATTTTATTAATAAAATGATATAAGCATGCAAAGCCATATTTCACTTAATTAAAAATTAGTTGTCTCTTTATTAAGAAATGCATAAGGAAATTTTGCTCCTCCGAACGGTGAAAATTAAAGCTTAAACAAGATTTATATATAAAAAAAGTAAGACATTCTATTCCGAAATAAATGAATTATTTATACCGCTCCTTTCATATAGCCATAGGAGGAAGAAGACCCTTTTTTTAAGAAAAAAGAGTGTTAGTCTTAAAGTGATACATATGTGTCTCTTTTTTTGGATTAATATCAACTTGAGGCATGAGTAATTTATAACTTCCTCAAATGACTTAAATTTAAATCTTAAAAAAAAAATTACCAGAGGTGTATATAATAGGGTGACACAAATTATATAATAAAGTTCATTCTTTCTTAAAAAAATGAACTTAAGGGTTTAAAAAAAATTCCTAAATATTTCGGACACCATAACCCAAGTTTTAACGGTCAGATTTGAGCATATGATAGATCTATAGAAAGGTCTATCACTCTTCTATAACATATCAAATATTGGGATTCATCCAACGGTTGAATTGAAAAATAATGAATTTTCTTTAAAAACACTCCAGTTTGAGATGTTCATGGGGAATTGGGTGATAATAGTCAAAGTACTTCGAAATTGGCATGATCCTTTTAATGGTATGTTAAGGACAAGCATATAAATGCTCTGTAGAAAATTCTCTCTTTTTAGAAGTCATTTGATATTCCAAATAAAAAGAGTATGCTTGGTTGGGGAAGACAGCCTCAAATCAGTTTATCATTTTGTTACCTTGTTTTGTAAAAATCATAAAAAATAGAGTATTTATCCTATGGGAACGTGTGACCCCAATTTACAAAGCTTAAGGAATATTATTTCTAGATATTCAATTTTTATGAAATTCCAAGTCTCATACACTCCTAAATACATAAGCTTACTGTAAAAAATTTATTTCTTAATTTTATAATAAAAAACGATTTTTTTACATAATAAAATAAAGTGGTCGAAAATGCTATCTTGCTAGAATTCCGTCATTCATTCTTTGGAGCTTCCTTATGCATTTTGTACAATTATCATTGCTTCCATTTCATACTCTACATAATGATGATACATACAAGAAAAGAAAAATCAAACAAACCATGTATACTCACTCTCAAACTCGCTCGTGGTCGGTCAAATTCTACTTGGTTTCCAAATTAGGAAACCGGCACGTATAGTGCCCTAGGAGGTTATGGAACACACAAAAGTAGAAACGTTAGTAAATGTATGTAAAAATAATATGAAATCACAAATAAAAAGAAAGAAAATATTACCTTTGACTTTGAGTAGCTAACTTGTGGAGTTAGTAAGAGTAGCGTGATAGTGTCAAAACGATCGAATTAAAATTAGGCCAAGTCTTTCTACAATATTTTTTTTTTTTTTTTACGAAAAATAAAAAATTTTGATTGCTTTTTTTTTTTAAGTATAATAATAATGCTGAAATAATTTATACTTCTTTTATGTTTTTTTTTTTTTTTACTATTCTCTTCGATATTTTTCCCCCTTTTTCGTGAAGAGTAGGGTGGTATATATATGGAAGCAAATGGGAGCTAAAATACAAAATACAAAGAATATACTGTTATACGAAATAAATACGTACGAATACAAGAGTTATGTAGAAATAATAACCAAAATTGTCTTAATGAAGTAGAGGACAAATAGAATAGCCTACTACTTTATGTAAAACTTAATTACTATTGACTAAACAAAAGACAATATTATTAATGACTAAAAATAATTAAAAGTACTAATATAATTTGAATACAATGGTTAATTGGTACTACTTTCCTTTGAAGAGTGTACTTACTCTTCGTATATTAAACTTACCATAGCAAAATGCGACTATTACACCACCTACTTATCAGAAAATAACAAGAAAAAAAATTGTTTGCCATTGATTGTGGATAGTCATATCACCTTACCGTTTGGGAAGAAACACAGCTCAGTGATACAACGTATTGTCATATCACACCATTTTCTGATTCTCGTTGCTAAATTACAACCATGGCTTACCATTTTCTTTTTCTGTAAAGATTTGACATATCAAATGAGTGGAAATGGCAGGGGTATCTTTGCTTGGAGCCACTCTTTTACTGTCAAATATTGTCGTCATTGCAATAACCCGGAAGAGAAATAGCATGCATACTTACACTTGTTATTTCTGAGTGTGTGAAACAGAGAAAAGATAACTCATGAAGGTAAGTGGTAATGGTGTTTTGGTGGGAATTTGAATAGGAAGGAAGAAGATGAAATATAAGGTAGTAGCATTACGTTATTAACAAAGTGAAATCTAACAAAATGCATTTTATGAGTGAAAAATAAAAAATTAAAGTACACAATAAAAAAAATAAAAATGAAAAGTTGGGGAGGGGGAAAACTGTGACTTTGTTAGCATTGGTAATAGCTTAGTGTAATGCATGCATGCTTTGCATTCTTTTACATAATCAAAATATGCTAATTTGTCCTTTATGATTTGTATTTTTCCTTTTTTTTAAAAAAAAAAATAAGAAGAAAATAATAAAATTATAAAGGAACAAAAGCCATGAATATGTTAATGGGTTAGGCATATTGTCAAACAAAATCCAACAACAATGTAACAATTATTTACATAACATATGATGAACCCACTTATAATATAAAAATAGTAGAATAATTATAATAACAATAGGATAAAAAATAATCAGTAGTACTAAAAATTTATTAGAGGTTAAAAAGTGATACTTTAGAAATGGTCACGGTTTTAAAAATGTACAGATTAAAGGGTCAAAATTTGATACTATTGACTAGGATATGTCAAACGGAATAATTGGTACATATGTCAGTAGTAACAATATTGTTTTTATTTTATGTTACTTTTAAAAGATACACTTACTACTATTATTAGACTAAACGATTATACAATTGGGATATGACAAAAATACGGATAAGATTTATCTTATAAAAGGGAGATTTCCCTTATCCGAAATCACCCTTTACTCAAAAAACACACCCCTTGCCTTTTCCTCTTCGGTTTCCATGGCTCCCGGCAACCAAAATCGTCAAGCTCCATCTCCGTTCGACGAGCATTTTCGAGTGCTAAATTTATATTTAGCTTTGATCATGGAGTTAGTGGTGCTACTAATGGCGTTAATGATTTTCATAATCATGAATAAATGACGACTTGAAGTTCCCCGCACGGAGTGTACAAGGTTCGAGTTATGCTTCGAATTAACCTCGCATTTTGTTCGTAAATTAGGAGTACAAATTGTAAGAGTTTTGTATACTCCAAAATTATAAATAAACACTACTTGAATTTGTCTCTTATGTCTAATTATTGCGGTTGTCGTTAGCAAAATCAGATCTTATTATTATAATTTATTAGTTAATTGAAAGTAAAAAAGTATGGAAAATAGGGGATCAAAATTTGGTGTCTACACCTAGTAAACTAATTATAGTCGACGTGGTTAAAATGTTGATTATTCAACCTTTGTTGCAGTTTCAGCTGCATCTTCATCTAAAAAAAGTCGCCGTGGAATAACTGGAGGAGACTTGAGTCTTCGATCCCTGACAGTTGTAGATGTATGTAGAGGATAATTTCTGATTCTTTATAGTTGGAGAAATTGATGACGTTTAATGTGTAGTGACAGAAGATACTGCTCCAGATACCCAACTTCCAACTCTAGCACTGCAATTTCCTTTATAAAATTTGTTGCAAGCTGAAACCAAGCAATAGGCATAGAGTGAAGAAAATTTAGAAAAAACAACAAACTAATAGTACAATCCAAGAGAGGTTCTAATCACACAGAAGCACCAAACTTAAAGAGAGTTTTCTTTTGATTAGTGATTATCATATGCTTCGTAGTACATACCTTTGGGATTGTAGAAGGTTCATTTTTCTCGTAGGAGGACACTCCAGAACCTAATGCATTTTCTAAAGCACACCGAACAGCGAATTGGTTCTGCAACCTTTTCTCGAGTTGTAAAATCTAAAAACAATGTCAAGACAGAAAATAAGTAATCGACAATCAGTTAAAGGGATTTTTGAAGAAAAGGGACCTCAATGCAGAAAGTTTAAGCATAATTCACTTCTGAGTTCTGACCTCTTGTTTCAGTGAATGAGTTTTTAACTAAAATAATCAACTAAAATAATTTTTTTTTCATCTAAAAAAATAGCCTTTTTAACTAATTCTTTCATCAATGAACATATAATTGACCACAACATCATACTAAAACATACTCTAGTAAAACAGAAAACCAATCCCATGTTTTAGATTATGTTAGCTAATAAATTTAGCATTAGGCCATATATTTGAAGACAAGAATCAACCACAATTCACACCCGCAAGGAATTAATCTTCATCCATATAAAAAATTAGAAGAAAAAAAATGGGGAGAGAGAAATAGAACCAAATCTGAATTCCGATCTTGCACAATAATGCTGTGTATTATCCATAGTAACCAGAAAATCGTGGCCATCCCAGAAAAAGATCCCACAAAATCAAACCTATCAAAGCATCACATTATATGGAAATACCTAAGCAACTTTCACAAATTGATGCTTAGTTTTGTTCGTCAAAGAAAACACCAGTAGTAATGAACACAATACCTCTATGAGTTTTGAGTCACAGAGAGAAAAAACCTTCTAAAAAAACACAATGGATCTCGTGTTAAGAACTTGATATTCACAAAAGAGTTATACACAAAATAATTTCTTATTTACAATAAACTTCCTGCATGGACGTGCTGCCACTAACCTCTCCCATTTCAAGCACCTCAAAATCTCTAATACTACTTTGTATTGTTGTGTTCTCATTAGCTGCTTTCCTTCTGTATATATGCAACATAAGACCTATCATTATTGCCCTGTCATATATTGCGTATGTAGTTGCTTTTCGACAATTGAAACTAAAGAGAGACAATTGCCCTTTGCGACTCCTCATACACCCATAATCAAAATCACCATAAACTCAAATAAGATTGAGAAACAGGACACTTTTTGCATTAATATCATTATCCAATCAAACCTACAAATTGCTATCCCTACTATAAACCTTCAACCCCAATTCAAAAACTGAACATTACCAATGCAAATATAATATATCAATTAAAAAAATACAACAAATTAACCCTAAAAAAATTATTAAAAGAAAAGAAAGAGACCTTTTTAGTGCATTGAAGAACATCGGGTTTAGACTTAGAACGCAAAGACGAGACCAATGAACAAGCTTATCCCCGCAATTCTAACTGCCTTTCTTCGATCTTTCTTCTCTTCAGCAGCAACAGTAGCAGCAGTAGAAGCAGTTTCTTCATATGGGTTTTGTTTAGAATCATCAGAAGGTGGGAAATCAGCAACTTCAGCAACCAAACATGGCCGCCATTGTTGGGTTCTTGAAGCAAGATTTGAAATTCTGAAAAAAGTAATTAAGAGTAGCTGAAGTGTCGTCTCATTTCAGTTTCTTGGGGGTTTGGGGGAAGGAAAACAATCATGGCACCAAAATTTCACAACCCTGGATTATATGCTTGGTAGAAATAACAAAATGTCCCTTGTTAGTTATATGAAAATTCTGATTTATAGAAGTTTTTAAATAAAATAAGAACTTAAGCTATAGGTGCAATCGCCCAAAATATACTCAAATAGAAATAGAGTAATCAACACACATAAAAGTTAAAATGTTTCATGTGGGGAGTCTGAACTCTAAGCATGTGACATCAATTTTCAGTTCTTGAAGAATGAGCAACATAAGCACACCAATAGCACAAAAAAATTGTAGTACAATTCAAAAAAGATGAATATCTACCAGTCATTTTGTGTAGCCTCAAACTGTTTCCAAAGCTCATCGTCCTGAAAAATAAAACGATGAAAAGAACAAAAGATTAAAATCAAAAGTCAGATAAAAAATTAAGAAAATGGAAACGAAATTAGGGGCTGACCCTATTAAACCCAGAGCCCCCCCCCCCCCCCAAAGCAACAATCATTATCACAAGGCCACAAGATAATTATAAATTTACAATCATGTAAAAAGAATCAAAGGTCCAACATCAAATATTCATCCATTATTCGAATGCACTCAATTATCAACTTTGTATGCATTCAAATGACAAACACTTTCTAATATTAATTACCATCAAATTTATTCATGAAAGCTATCAATCAAAGCTAATATAAATTAGAAAATTTGAATCAAAAGATTGCATATCAATCGAAAGCGGCAACATCAATTCAAATTTCAAGCTCACAAAATCGAACATCAACCTCCCATGCTCTCAACAAATCACAAATTCACTATAACATACTTCACATCATTCAATTCAGTCAGGTATCCACAAATTCAATAAACATCCTAAAATCAACAAAACTTGGCATAGAAATAGCAAATAAATCCGAAAAAAAAATAAAACCCTAATAAATGGAAACCAAATCAAATCAATCCAAAAGTAATCCAAACAACAAAACTGATGAAAAATTAGTGATTTGCATACCATACCCCATTTTGTCTCGGCAATTAGGTAACACCAGAATAGTGCAATGCAGTGAGACTAAAGCATGGTAATTGAATTGAGCTATGAGACATACATTCAAGTGGAGTACATGTCATCAAAAAATTTATAATAAAAACAATAAAGCATCAAAATACACATAGATGTCAAGTTAACAGATATAGCCCAGAAAAAACCTCTTGCTTCCATTAAAGAAGTCTCGTCATCTTGCTGCAAACCCAAAAAAAAAACGCCAAGCCACCTACAAATCTGTTCGAATTTCACAAAAAAATTGCATCACTTCAACTGATCTTGTTTCTCAATTAATCAAAGTGAAATTCCATCAAATCCACAAAACACAAATATCAACAACAGGAAAAAAAAAAATTCTAGAATTTAAATACAAAAAACAGGTCGAACTACCTGAGTTTTATTCACCTCAAACTTGAATCGAGCAAACCTTGCTCCATCTTCCTCCTTCTACCTATTTCAGAGAGAAACAGGAGGAAACTACTTCACACCGCAAATAATAGAAACTGAATTTATCGGCATGAAATAAAAAGAAATGAAATTACTGCTGCCATTGCTACAACCATAGAAAACTATAGAATCTCTAGACTCCAAATATCATGATTAGATTTTCCTCCAACATCCTACATTTCATAAAATAACAAAATCAAAAATCATATCCAAGCAACACGCAAAAATCACAAAATCGAATTCAAATAATCCAAACATAATCGAAAGACAATCAAAAGCCCTAACCGTAACAGAAGAGATCGAAACTCCGACGGAAGCATCATCATCCTTAGCAAAACACAAAAAAACACAAATTAATCCAAAAATAAAATGCTGAAAATGCAGTTTCAAGCGAAAGCGAGAGATTACCGAAGAAGAGGAATTGAAGATGAGCTGCGAGTGCGGCCATGGTGAAGGAGGCGAGAAGAACGAGGAGCGGGGAAAGAGAGAGTGAGAAGAAGCAGAGGAAGAAACATGCGAAACCCTAGCTCTAGATTTCCCCAAATTGGAAAAAAACTTGTGAACCTGAAAAGAGAGGAGAGAAAGGAGGAAAACTGAAAAGTGAATAATGAAGGTCAGAAAACATATGGCTGAGAGGAAAAGTGAATAATGGGTAAAACAAAAGGTGAAAAAGAGGAGAAGGGGCAAAACTGTAATTGAATATTTTGAGGGGCAAAAGAGTCACCACACTATTACTAAGGATTTTTCAACTTGCCAAGTTCTCACTTTTAATAGTTATAGATATTGATTGGGAAGGGTGATTTCATTATAATCTAAGTATGAGCAGGGAGTGGAACACTATTTTTACAGTAGCTCTTTGGCACATTTGGAGAGCTAGAACTCAATCTTTCTTTCAATTGGCTAGAATTCATCCAGTTAGTTTATTCAATAGATACATGGTGGATTTGGTGGGTATTATTAGCACTTTTCAAGGACAAACTAAGAAGACATCCACTAAAAAAGAGAACTATCAAATGGATTAGACTCTAGCTAGGAAACATCACAAGACACCTCAATCGTGTAAATGCAAGCCACAAATCAATGGTCCGTATCAATGTAAACTTACAATGCAATCTAGTGCAACAATCAAAGTTGGCCAATCTTCAATTAATCACACACATGCACATGATCATCAACCAAATTTAATCACACTATCAACTCCATCAATTATCCCCAATTAGCACTAATCCATTACTCATACATGCTTCACTATTGCCCTAGCAAGTAATCTACTCACTAATCATGGTAATTAAGATCAAAACAAAATTAATCAACACATTCATCATGATCATATAAAGCAATCTAAAATCAATACAAAACTTAATCAAACTTCAATCAAATATCAATCAAACTAAAACAATTAACCAAGCATATGAAAAACAAATGAAATCAACTAAGATCAAACTATATATTGAATCAAAGAAGAGTAATCCTTACAATACTTGATCAAAGATCAAATGAAATGAAGAAATCTTGAATCATCAACAATTAACCATGAATTTCTCTCTCTAAAAACCTAGAGTTTCTCTCTCTAAAGTATGATCTCAAAAGTTTTCTAATTATTCTCCAATTGATTCTCTCTCTAAAAATAGAAGGAAATACTATATATAAGAAAGATACAAAAGAAGAGTCGATTAGATCGTCCAAAAAGAGACCCCGGGAGGTACGGGCGCAAGAATAAGGGTACGGAACAGGGCACCCAGGCAGGTGCGGCCACACCTAGCTGATGCGCGGCCGCACCCTGCACGTGCGCGCCCGCACCTGGTGGCAGCTCACGCATCCCTTTCTTTGTCCTAGCTCAAATTCGTGCGCTCGTCTTGGTGATGATGATGAACACCAAGGTAGTCAGTCTTGAAATGGACATTTTGGTGGGTTCATGGAAAAGATGATGCCCCCACCGCATACGTACACCGATCTCTTGACTTGCTCCTTGCGCTCCTTCAACCTTGAAGCTCCAAAAGACGAACACGAGGCATCCAACTTGATGAGAAATGTGAGAGGAAGGCTCGGGAATCTTTGGAAACACAATCATAACTTGAAAACAAACAAATAAAAGGGAAAAAGAACAAATAAACAAAGAAATGCACAAAACAAAGAAACTAACTACGAAAAGCACAAACTAACGAAATAAAGAACAAAACTAAGAAAAACTAAGGAAAAGAGCTACAAAATAGAATGAAAATCATCCTAAAAGAGATCAAATGAGTGCCATAAATGACGCTCATCACAAAATTATCCCAAAAGTACACGGCGTGCTCACAATAAAAAATTTCCCGCCGAAAATAACTTTATATTTTTTTTCCTTAAAAATAATAAGATAATTTATTTTATATTTTTTTTTTAAAAAAAAAAGAATCTATACAACCTAAATAACCCCAGAAAATAGAACAATAACAACAACTTTTAATAAATGAAATATTTTTCTCTTTGCTTAAAATGAATTAAAAAAAATATATAGAAAACTGATTAAAAAATATTAAAGATAATGAACAACAACATAAAGTCATAGTAAATTAGTGATTTTTTTCTTTTAGTTCTAAATCAATTTAACTGAAATTTATTATTGCAAACAAAAGATCACCAAAGTAAAAACTTTTAATTATATATTAAGATTAGAAAATCTTCTATGAAGTATTATATTTCCTTAAATCTTAATTCGTTAATCTATAATATGAATGGTTCATTTCCTACTTAAAAAGGAATTATAACTCAATTTTAAATTCGTAATTTGTCAGCAAACTATAAAAAATGGAGATACTCTATACTATCGTGTCTTATATATAATAGGAAATATGCGAGGAAGGTCCTTTTAAGAGGTCGATCTTGTGTGGAAGGTCCTTTTATGAAAAAGGTGGCACAAAAGGTCCTTGTATGAACATTGGTTTGCGAGGAGGCGTCTGTTGATCATTTTCCGACGTTGATCAAAATTTTCCGGCCAATAAAAATCATGTGCAAAGCACGTGACCCCTTAAGTTCCCCCCTTTATTCCCCCTATTTTCTCACGATTTTCCCTCTATCTCCATTTTTCCCAAATTAAAACCCTAACTTTAGCAATTGCATCTCACAAAACTTGAATTTTTATCCTTCAAATCACAATTGAAGGGAAATCAAAGCCTATAAACAACAGGCGAATCATTTAAGGTGATAATCCTTTGTCAATTTCATCAGCTTTAGTTTTGTAATTTTTTAATTTAATATTTTTTTTTGTAGAACAATATTGCTGCGCGTGATGATGAAGAGGTGTAATTGCGATTGAATGAAAATATATGGGCCTTGCTCTTCCGGTTTGCTTTGCTATCCCGTTTTGGATTTTTCTTCACCATTTTTACAGAGTCAAATTAGATATTTTTGGCAAAAAAAACAATAGTACTTTTTACTACTATGAAAATGACAGAAGAGGAAGTAAGTTAGAGTCTTACCAAATGGGGTTAATTGCTAACCACACTCAAATAAAAGCCATTAATGGCTAACTGCAACTAACATCAAAGGAGTTTAAGAGATAAAAGGGAGGGAGAAATGGGGGATTGAGGGAAAATCGTGAGAAAAGAGGGGAAAGGAAAAAAAAAAACGGGAACTTAAGGGGTCACGTGCTTTGCACGTGATTTTTATTGGTCGGAAAATTTTGGTCAATGCCGGAAAACAGTCAACAAACCCTCCTCGCAACCCAATGTTCATATAAGGACTTTTTGTGCCACATTTTTTATTAAAGGACCTTCCACACAAGGTCGACCTCTTAAATGTACCTTCCTCAGCTCGCAGATTTTCCTATATTATAATTTTATAATGTAAATAGAAAATTCAGTGTATACAAAACCTTTAAATAACTACAAACTTAAAGTAATTTATAAAAATATTTTTAGTGAATCCGAGCATTGTTTGGGAAAAGAATTAGTAAATTGTATTATAATTATTTATAAATTAACAAATTACATGAAACTACGTGTATATTATATTACACATTATTGATACACACTGCATTCGTGTTTTAATAAGTGTTACACTTTGACTGACAATTAGTTTTAGACAATTTAATTGACTTAAATAAAAAAAGGTAAGTAGGGTAGTTGAAGTATTAAAAAATTGTAATATAAAGATAAGGAGTTAATAATTTATTAAAAAGAAATGAATGTAAGAGAAAAAAAAATTATTACTAAAACACAGAGGGAGTAATAACTATTATAATCAAAAATTGATTAGAGAGTTGTATAATGAGTAGAGAAAATTTGTCCAAGATTTTGGATTGATTGTCTGAATACGTATAACATTTTCCTGGCATCAATTGCAAGACTACCTATTACTGATTGAGATTCTACTGGCACAAATTTTTAGAGAAAATAAATTTTTGCATTTTGTATTAACTACCAACAATAGGTAAAGGACACTAGAAGAGAAGACAGTACCAAAACACCTCAAAGTTACAGCTTGCGAACAACTTCTTGTTCTAGCGGTGTGATTTTTGATTTCCTTACGAATTTTATATAAAAAAATATTAATTGGTTAGGTACTCAGGTTTACGTTTGACCGAGAATTCTGAAAATTAGGTTGAATTTTAATTTTGTTCAACAACTCATTAAATCATAAAAGAAAATTATTGGGTTTTTGTTTTTTTATTATGTTTATTATCTATTAATAATATTGGAAATAGGTTTAAATGTATTCATGAAAAATTATCGTGTTTCAACATCAAAAGATTGAACATCAAAAGACTAAAAAACACACTTTTGAGTTTCAACTAATTATGTTAAATAATTGCTTTCAACTTGCAAATTAATTCATGACTTTGAATACGGAGCATAGATATCAAAAATAGACCCAATCAACCTAATATGATATGAAAAATATCCGATTTAGATTTCGACTCATATAAAGCATGTACATAATAAATTAAATTAGCAAAAATTCAACTTTAAAATACACCTGACCCAACCCGACCTGATCTCACCAAATCCAACCCAACCCTAGTACCTGAATTGACACTTCTAGTTGTGACTCTTGTGAGCTTTACACAAATTGTTAAAAAAATTAAGGAAAATTTGTCAAAAATAACACCACCTTTCACCGGTCTTCCATAAATGAAACGACCTTTAGATTATTTCAAAATAAAGCGACCTTTGATATACATCTGCCAAAAATAAAACGTGACCGGTTGGTAACCTGTTTAATAGGTTACATGTGACACATGTCACAATATCATTGGTCAATTTTTTTTTAACAATTTTGTTTTTTTTTTTAAAAAAACTTTAAAATAAAAAATAATACTTAAAAAAAACTGAAATTAAAAAAAAAAAAAAAAAAAAAAAAGGCAAACCCCCTTAGCTGGCAGCAGCCCCACCACCACCTGCCATCGGCCTGCGCCCAAATCCACACCCCTATGCCAGAAAACCCATTTTGCCCCTCTGCTGGCCATCTCCGTCCCTTCAATTCCCCCCTTAAACCATCACCAAAAAGTCAAAACCCCCTAAAACCACCACTCGATTTTGGGGTTCTAGGATTTTCAGGTGGTGGTTCAAGGGGGGAGTGGTTGGACACGGCCACCGAAGAGGATAAACGAGTTCGCCGGCACAGGAAGTGAGTTTGGTCATTTTCCGGTGAGAAAAGGAGTGTTTTTGAGAGGAAAGAGAGGGAATTTAGGATGGGGGGAAGCTGGTTCAGGGGAAGGGGACGGATGGGTTGGATGGTCGGGCACTAGGTCAGGAGAGGGTATCACCGGCGCCGGTAAGGGGCTTAGGTTGCTGGCGGTGATGTCGGGCGGTGGTGGGCTGGTGGGGTTGCTGCCGGTAAAGGGAAGGATTTTTCTTTTTTAATTCCAGTTTTGTTTTTAGTTTTACATTTTTTTAAGAGTTATTTTAATTTAAGTGTTTTTTTTTTAAATCATTATTATTACACAAAAATTAAAAATATTTTAACCAAACACTAAGTGACACATGTCTAATGTAACCTATAAAACAGGTTACAAGTTTTACATTTCATTTTTGGCAGATATGTATTAAAGGTCGTTTTATTTTGGAATAATCTAAAGGTCGTTTCATTTATGAAAGGCCGGTGAAAGATGGTGTTATTTTTGCTAATTTCCAAAAATTAAAGGATGAATTAAAGAATTTTTTTTTATCTTAAAACAAACTTCAAATGTTACGCATATAATATGTAACCTATTAAACAAAATTTCTACACTAACGACTTTAACACATTATATTAATCTTACATACTTTCGTACAAATTATAACATGATGCATTACAACAGTGCTTGACAAAGAATCTTTAAACATGTTTTTTCAACACTTTTGGCCAACGAACATACGTGTGTAGTATATAATTTTTTTTATGTTCCCTTTGTTTGAACTACTAATGTGACAACTTTATATACGATTATTTTCAAATAATGGTACACTGTCCCGGACTGTCATAAGATGAAGAAGGGTACGACTGAACTGCAACGAAGTCACAAGGCTTGTTGTTGCTATACGAGGGAACGAAGTGGCAAGGCTGGTAAGGAAGGGGTTCAGAAGTACAATGAACATATGGACGACAGAAGTTACAGATGCAATAAGGAGGACATTTAGGGCGTGGTGGTCCGACACTTATAATTTCAGGCGCTTTGCCAATCTTCTTGAGCTTCTTGAAAATTGGAATTGGCTCAACTTCTCCAATTATGGTCAATGTGCCTTTGCTAACATCCACCTCCAATTTTTATATACCTGTTCAAAGTACCCCCAACACCATCATATATATAGATTTAGGGTCAAATGAGAAGTTTCTTAAAATGAGAAGGGTGATAAGGATTTTATGTGCATAAAATTTTTATTGCATGTACAAATTTTTTGAATAAAATGTGCAAAAAAAAAAATTTTGACCGAAATTGAATGTGCATATTTTTTGCACATAATGTGCATAAGTTCTCGTTTTTTCCAGAAATCAAATATGCACATTTAGTAGAAAATATATGCACATTTAGTTCAAAATAAATGCACATTTCATCCTTCTCATTGGATCTCAACCCTATATATATATATATATATATATATATATATATATATATATATAGAGAGAGAGAGAGAGAGAGAGAGAGAGAGAGAGAGAGAGAGAGAGAGAGAGAAGAGAGAGAGAGAGAGAGAGAGAGAGAGAGAGAGAGAGAGAGAGAGAGAGAGAGAGAGAGAGAGGCTCATGTAAGAACCCTTCTCTATATAAGAACCAACCTCAGCCCTTTATTAGTTTTGATCTGACCATCTAAAATGATCCTTTAGTAATGGCATTTCTATAATTTTGAGAATTTCGTATTTAGAACATAGAAAAAAAATTTAGAACATAAAAAAAAATTAGAACATAAGCAAAAATTTTTTTGAACATAAGCAGAAAATTTTAGAACATAAGAAAAATAATTTAGAACATAGGAAATATTTAGAACATAAGCTGAAAAAATAATTTAGAACATAGGAACAAATTTAGAACATAATCTAAAAAACAATTTAGAACATTAAAAATAATTTGGAACATAAGTAGAAAAAATTTAGAATATAGGAAAAACTTTAGAACATAAGCTAAAAAAATAATTTAGGACATAGAAAAAAATTTAGAACATAAGCTGAAAAATATAATTTAGAACATAGGAACAAATTTAGAACATAATCTAAAAAACAATTTAGAACATTAAAAATAATTTGGAACATAAGTAGAAAAAATTTAGATCGAATATAGGAAAAACTTTAGAACATAAGCTGAAAAAATAATTTAGAACATAGAAAAAAATTTAGAACATAAGCTGAAAATTATAATTTAGAATATAGGAACAAATTTAGAACATAATCTAAAAACAAATTTAGAACATTGGAAAAAATTTGGAACATAAGAAGAAGAAAAATTTAGAACATAGAAAAAAGTTTATAAGGAGGGGTTCTTACCGGATCCATCCCCTGTGTGTGTGTATATATATATATATATATATATATATATATATATATATATAAAAGAGATTATTAATTTTTTATAAATTAATTATTTCAAACGCCACGCAAGCAAAATTGGCGAATGATATTTTTAAATTTTAAATTAATTAAATATTGTATGTTATCTTTTGATGTTAAGAATTTTATCTAATTATATAACAAACATTAGCACATAAATACAAAAAAAAAATAATAAAAAAAATAAAAAAAATCAAATAAACCGTGCATCGCAAAGGCTTCATCTATTATAATAAGATCAATGAGTTAGTATTTTATTATTAATCGATTTAATAATAATCAGGGTCTCTATCATATATACTGTGGTGGTTTCAGTGTTGGATCTTGAGCAAATTTTCTTTAGGGGCCAAATTAAGAGAGATATATTATGAGTTCTACTTTTGTCTCGGATTAGAGGGGGTAGTATAAATTAATTTAACAAGAACAACTACAATCTTGGTCTTTGGGCATGCACGACCTTTGTTGGCCATAGAGAAGATATGCCATTGGTGATGACATATATTAATATATAGGATTAGATGTTATCCCTTTAACTTATCAGTTGGACATAGTTGACACACTTTAATTGACATAAAATTTAAGCAAATTTACTCAACCTTTTGAAAGGAAT